AATGGAAAGCAACCTCACAAGGGTTTAGTTCTAAAGTGATTCAAAAGTGAACACAAATTGCAAAAGAATGAATGACATGAAAATCTGTACAAAAGAAAAGTCTCCTAAACATGCTATGTTCTAGAAAGCGATAAATGAGTATATGGCGTGTACCAACTTCAAAACACTATCATTACCATATATCCGTAAGTTGAAACGTACAGACTTGGAAAACCGCCTCAAAATTCCTCAAGAAATCGGACCAAATTTGGAGTCCAAACAACAAACAAAAGAATTAGAAAAATAAATCTATTATGTATTAATCTAAAAAGCCTAGGTGAGAGTAGGAAAAAAGAGAGCCAAGCAAAAAATTAAAAAGAATTCACTGGCTCTGCACAACAGTGCGTGCTAAGCGAAACAGAGCACACTAAGCGTGCTACACCAGTTACAGAAAAATAGAGAAACTGGTGCAGCTGCTATGCAAGCTCCAGTTACACCTACACAACCTCAATGTACATAATATTTACAACCTACAATAGAACTCAAGCTAAAAACGATAAGCTTGCGGAAAAACACGAATTGACATAACAAAACTTACGGGTGAAAGTGAATTAAACAAGTTGAAAAGTTTAAATTTGAGAATTTAAAACAGGTCCAATTTCAACTTGTCTAAAACACAAGTCAACACATAACATAAACGAACATAAACATGCATGTTTTACGTCGTAAGCTCGTCGCTTTTATTGTGCGATCTAGTAAACTCCTCTCGTCATGCCATGTTATTGTCACACCGCACAAACTTAAAGAAAATTTCCTAACAACCATACAACAAACGTTACGAAAATGAGACAATTCACAATAATACGTAAAAACAAAGAAAAACATATATATGCACAAGTATGGAAAGTAAAAACAACATCTACAAGTCAAAATAAACAAGTTTTTGTACACATTCTATACAACATATATATTAATTACAAAACTCAAAAACAAAGAAACTATCACAATACGAACCAATAAAACCAATCCTGGCAATGACGCCATTTTGCTGAAGCTGTAAAGCAACAAGAAAAAAGTAAGTATTATTTTACCAGGGGATATAGGTTATTCCTTATTGTGTCCATAGAGATTGGTGTATTGAATTTCCGTTCGACAAATCTCGTGTTTATGAGTTTGGGAATAGAATGGGTTTGTTTGTAAGGTGCGAGAATTAAAAGTTATAAACATAAAAAGAATTTCATTCTTTGAATAGTAAAGAACTCTCAAGTTTGTATTTCGTCTACCCTATCAAATACTTAAACTTACTACCCAGTTGCACTTAACCTTAACTACTCGTCAATATAATCATGTATCTCTCACACATAGGTTATCTCTAACACAGAGTGAGATATCAACCGTATCTCTCTATGTCGGCGATCTCTCAGCACAACATAAAACAACACGGAGGCATTGAGATTCAATACCTAAGTGATTACTAAGCCTAAATCTATCTCTAGAATCTAAGCCCAATAGATATTCATCCCAAGTTTGGATTCAACCTGTCCATCTCTGCAACAACTCAAATCCAAACCCCTAGCAAACTAAAAAGGATAAACATCAATAAAGATTTGTAAATAAAGTTTCATACAACACCACGAGCAATAAATATACATATAATCAAGGTAAAGTTACACACAAAACCCAACAAATAATGGTTACAAAGAGAGGAATAGGAGAAGAAACCAAATTTCCTACAGTGTCAAACACGACCCATCAAGTTCCCGACCCCAGATCATCCAATTGCAAGCCACAAATTTTGTTTTCTAATCTCTAAATATCAAAGAATGAAGGTGATGGAGATTGGGAACAAATACCCCAAAAACCATAACCTATAAAATGAACTATAATATGTTTTATAAAACTATTCTCAGCAGACCGTGCTTAGCGGCCTCACCATGCTAAGCGGGCTGCGCGATATTTACACATATAACCGCCTAAACCATGCTAGGCGGCTTCAAAATTTATGCTTCTACCAAACTTAACAAAATCACTTGCAGCACGCTACAACTTCCTCTTAGTGCACCTGCCTGGACATGATTTTCTCAACAATGGTCTTTTATTCCGACAACTTGCATTCGGAGCTGTGCCTTCGACACCTTATTCCTCGATGCTCCAAATATGCAAAAAATACTTACAAAATAGACTAAAACTATCAAATGGTACACTATTTACATGAAAACACAATTATTCGCAAAGTAAACGTATTTACAAACAAAGCGAGGAATTATACAAAGAATATTAATAAAAGTATCAATAAGTGTAACAAAACTTATATACAAAAATAACTACAATTTACACTTATCAACACTGTCTTTGCAACCCTCATATGTACCTTATACATCTAACTTTTCCTACATATCCTAACTCCACGTGCCACCATCATCTTCCGAATCATCACCGCTATCTCCACTGTCAATAACCTCCTCCTCCAAAACCTTCAGAATCACAACTCTTTTAGGCCCATGCATGTCCTCAACTAGTTTAACCATATAAATAGTATTGTTGATGCCAACGTTAAACATTTCATTTAACACCATGCTGTATTTTATTCTTATTAGAATTCTGGCGACATCTAACTTGGTTTGAGTTCTAGTTTCATCGTCTGAGAAGACGTAGACCCCAACCAAACACGTTAAAAACTCAAAGAATTCTGGTGACCATGCATGCCCTAGAATACCATAACATCTAATTCATGTTAACATGTTGTTATCAACATGGCTCGGCGACCATGGACGCACCTCTGAGAATCATTGTCCTATCCTGTCAATCGCTTCATTGATCAATGCCTGAATTTCCCTTCTTCATGCTCTTCTAACAGGCATAAGTTTTCCCCCATTGATGTCATTTTCACAACAAAGTACCCTTTAATGTGGAATGTTTCATGTATATTATAGGTCATCTCATGTACTTCGACCACCTTAATGAATGTTGCAAATCGGTGTAACTTCTCCTCTTCTATGTCAAATTGGAGATGAGCAAAAGTTTGATTATTCTCCTTATATCTTCTATCTAAATTCTTCTTCCAATTCTGATTTAAGAAATTTCCATGCCTTTATTTATTATTCTCACGACCCTGATCACGTACAGTTGTGCATAAGTTTTTGCTTTGTTTTTATCCATATCCACTTTCATGGAGTGTCCTCTATTTGAACCGCTAACAACTCCATTTCCAACCTCTCTTGGTCCACACCCAAATTCTCGGATGTTTATGCTTCCCCTTTGCTTCTGATCCTGTTCCTCCCATCTACCTCTTTGAAATTTTAGAACATTTACATGAATCTTGTTGGACCTAATGGAAATGTTATCAAACTTCACCTCCAGTAACTTCACATCCATCACCTTCCTAAATTTCACAAATTCATATTTTCTTCCTTGCTTATTCCTCTTGGGTGGAATGACAACCTCCTCAATCAAACCGTATTCTCGGAATATTTCATACATGTCTTTTGCTCCTTATGAATTCGGAAGTTCTGTGAATTTTTTTTGTTGTTATTTCCTCATTTCTTCCCGCTCCTTTGTCTTTTTGAACTTCCCACCTAGCATGTTGATTCACCTTCTTCCTGTTAGCTCTTCTTCTGACCTTCTCCTATTCACCTAGCATGTTCGGTTAAAGTTTGATAAATAAACAATACACATTAGATATAATAAACTCAAATTTATATTTTTTCTCACTTAAATTCTAGAAGTGAGGACAAATATGTTTTCGCCATTTAAAAATTTCAAAATGGTATTACTGAGATATTGAAATTTTTAAATGGCGAAAAACATATTTACCTTCACTTGTAAATTTTAACCGAGAGAAATATTGATGCTAGTAACAACATATATATTTAACGGTAGGGGTGTGCATTGTTGGTTATTTTTAAAAATCAAACAATAACCATTTTCAAATCATTTAAATGGTTTGATTTTATAATTATAATCACATTTCAATCAAAACTGATTATAAAATTGATTATGATTATATAATCAATTTTTTATTTAAAAAATCCATTATAAAAAATTATTTTTTATTTTTATTTTGAAAATAATTTTTTTTTATAATTGAATTAAAACATTTAAATTTTAGATAATAAACAAATTATAACAGAATCTAAAATCAACTTAACCGATTAATAATCATTTAATTATATCCAGATCATATAGATGAATAAGCAACCATTAATAATTAAATTGGTTACTAACCATTTTATTATATCCAAATATTTAAAACATAGTTAGATTATTTTTAAAAAAAACTAAATTTAAATTTGATTATGAATTTAGATCTCACAATCCGATATATTGCACATTCCTATTTAACAAATATAAAATTAAACTTAATATGTTAGGTATAAATTAGAGAATAAGTTCGAACGGAATCTCTAATCAACAAAAAAACCTCAAATGAATGCTATAATCGTGGAAAAGACCAACATTGAGTTACCTAAAAATCAATATTGATGCTAGTTGCCATTTTGGGGTTCGAAATAGGGGGTTGTGTGTAGAAACGACGAAGGTGAGATCATTACAGCTGCAACTTGGTGTGAAACCAGAGACCAACTGTCAAGTGGTGGTAACCAAGCTTTGGTCTAAATCTACCCGAGAGAACTCAGACAGGAAATTTGTGTGATTCTATTAGAAAAACTAGTAGAAAGAATAACCAAACGACTCATGTTGCTATTTTTGGTTAAATAATTTTCCCTAAGTAATTGTCAATTGGGCAAATCAATAATAATTCTCAAAAACTTGGTGACTTATTTGATGAGAGATGATGTAGTATTTTGTGATAAATTACAACACCCATTTAATAGAGTTGAATAAATAAAGAATAAAGTGAGCCCCCCTTTCCTTTCCTCGGCAATTATATCACTTCATGTGTCTCTTGTTTCTCATTAATACAATCACACACTCATCACCTCTTCTCCCTCTCTTTCTCAATCCCCCCATCATTTCATTTCCCATCTCCTAAGTCTCTCTCCATCTTCATCCTCCCCCTTGCAATGAAGACCTCTCTTTCTTCACTCTTGTTCCTTCTCTTTCTCTTCTTCCTCTCCTCAGCAACCTCAAGATTGATCCCTATCCCTACTCCCTCAAGAAACCACCACCATTGTAATTCTTTTTCTAACAAAACCTCACGTTCTTTGTGCTATAACCTTCAAAGAATACACCATCACAATCTTGGTCCTCCTCACGCAAATTTCGGGGTTGAAATTGATCCAAAGTATGGTGTAGACAAGAGACTAGTTCCCTCTGGACCAAACCCACTTCACAACTGAAACCACTTCACTATATTTATATACACACACTAAGGTAAGGTAACATTTTCACTTATTATATTTTGGCATGCAGAAAGAGACAATCTTTGGCAGAAATATTTCTTCTTACTTACTATTGTTCAATCTTTTATATTTCTTTAAGTAATATTGTAATGTTTCTTTTGCCCTATAGTATAATAGGGCAATATATAGATTTTCCATTTCCATGCTTGTATTTGGTTTTCTTGGTCTTGGAATTAGGGCTACAAAATTTTGTAGAAAGAAAGACAGAATCTGAAAACAAGCATGGAAATGGTGAAAGAGAGAAGAGGATGGTTGAAACTTGAAAGCAGTTGTGGAGGACCCCATGAGTTTCATTAATGAGGAGCCAGCTAAAGTTATAGGACTATCTATTTATGGTTGTTGCTCACAAGAATATTATGTATGGAGTCAACATCATTTTTTATATAAATATATTAATTCATGTATAGTTGGACGTATTTGAATTCAACCTATGAAAATATATATGACATATTTATTATTGTTTTTATTATTCTTATAACATACTTTGCTTTTTTGCTTAAGGGTGTTGTTAATGCTATAACTTTTGAACAAAATTGTAAATGAAGCATCCAATCTTCATTTCATCATTAATTAATAGATTGGCAACCGTTGTTATACAGTTCATAGCAGAATTTGTTGTAAAACAAATTGTGTTTTTCTTTCATCTTATAGAAGTTAGGATAAAAGATACAGTTAGTTATCATAAATAGGGTTTCTATTCAAAATTAATATTGATCTCTCTGTAACATGTTGGTCCTGTATATACTAGAGGAATATTGTTTTGTAATTAAGTTGTGTAGGATCAATAAACAAGAATTCTATTATGGCATCAAAACGCAAACATCCACATAAATATGAGTCTGAGAAGAAAAACCATACATGCACCATATTAAATCTTGCGCTTTCTTTGAATTCATCAGTCAATTCTTTGAATTCATCAGACAATTCAGGAACACCGCTTGTTGCTGCAACTCTCAGCAGAGAGAATTATCGAATATAGGTTATTGAAATTCTGATATATAGATATCGAATGTTGAACTAGATGTCACGACATTAATATTAGATTAGTTACACACCACCAAACAATTATGCAAGTAAGGTAAATTGCAGAAGTTAAATAACACAAATAATTGTTAATCCAGTTCGGTGCAACATCATCTACATCCGAAGGCAACCAAGCCAAGAAAGAAATCCACTATAATAGTATTAGTTTGAAGCCTAAGTAAACAGTCTCTGATTTTTATGTTCTCACTTAATCACTACCTGTGCTATTTCTATCCAAGACACTATTAGATATCAGACCCCTCTCACTTTCCTTCAATCACACAACAATGATAACAACTTTAACCAAATACGAAAGACACACCTCCAATGACACACAATCCACTCTTGCTTAAAAGCCTATGTGTGGTTGACAATTACAACTAAAATGAAGTCCAATTCAACCATCCAAGAGATACATGAATGGTTCACAATAAACGTCCAACTCTACTATATAGTGGATCACAAAGAACAAAAAACAAACTAAACTCTCAAAAAGACTCTCGCATGCACGACTTAGTTGATAGCATTAGGTTTAGAATGTCCTTTAAATAGTCTTTGGAAAGCATGGGGTTCAGGCTCTTCAATTATTTAGATACAAATCCAAAAAATGAATGATGTATAATTTATGCAAAAACTTCTCCTTAAAATAAGGAACAACATCACATGTTTCCTAAAATGTCTCAAAATCCTATTTTATGAAACAAATGCATAGTTGGAATAGAAACATTTGTTCCAAATTAACCATTCTTGAACATCAAAAATATGTGAGATAAAATAGCAGAGAATCTCACACTTAAGTAAACCAAATCTTCCAAGAATTAAAAACCGAGTCTGCTACGATGTATGATCAACATGTCACGACATCTTGCTCAACATCTTATTGTGATACATATTTTAACAAAACTGTCGTCAATCATAAAATCACAGATATAACAATCTCCCTTTTTGAAATTTTTTGGCTAAAACAATCTTTGCATAATATAGCCGGAGAGAAAGGATAAAACAACAACAAACAACCACACAAACACAAGATACATAAATCACATGCATACTTGGTATATCATAAAAAATATATCAGAGGCGCACACAACAAAACAAAAAAGAGACACAGCCTCACAAACAACAAACACAGAAAGAGAAATAAACTCTCACACTCCAGTATTCCTTCAGAGACCAAATGTCATGACATTCTGTTTGACATCACAGCAACATAACAAGCACACAAGAAAGAAATAATCTCAACACATCAACACCATGCCCCCCCTGAATGGCATGATCAATACTGATCAATAAAACAAAACTTACCCCTCTGTCACATAAGATCACAATCCCCCTCAAGGAAGTAACCTTTACACAAATAGCATAAAAAATCTAAACATCCAAACTCTGTAATCTTCTGATAGCTTCGGCTTGAAACAGATCTCCAGAGAATAGATACAGAACAGAATGCAATACCGTAGAAACATGTCACGACATCTTGTCCAACATCTTACTGTACATATTGTTTAACCAAAATGAAGCCAACAAGCTAAAACCTAACAATAATCTCCCCCTTTTCCAATATTTTGACTTAAAACAATCTTTGCACAAAATATCCAAAAACAAGCAACTCATAGGAGAGATAAACAAGCAACATTATTTCAAGGAAGAATCTTCAATATAATGCACAACCAAAATATGAACTACACAAGTTCATACATCAGAGACATACGCAGTAAAAAAAGAAACCCACAGCCTCACAAAAACACAAATAATAGAGAGAAATAAATTCCCCCATAAACAACTTCAGCAAAAATATTCCAGACAGAATGTCAAGACAACAAGTATGACATCAAGCATATATTGCTCTGTCAACACCAAATCATCATGCTTTCCTTAAACTCCAGATCACAACAGCTTCGGGTACATGTACTACAACAACAACTACTCCCTCTTTTAGCCAAAAAACTGATAAAACAACCTCCATGCATTCATTAGACGCAACATAAGCACATATTCCCAGCAACTCATCTTACCTCTGTCATAAACCTTCCCGTACTCCTTCACCAATATCTTATAACCAAAACCAGCAACCTCAATTAGATTCACCACCTCCTTGTAGTCAAGAACATCCTCTTGAGATTCTTCAGATATTCCAACATTACCCATGACAGTTTGTAAGGACTTCCCTGAAATTTTTCGCACCACTAAATTGAAAAAATAGGAAGTATTTGTTGCACTCCTCCACACCTGTAATTGAAATTCTAGCACGCACAATATAAATGTCAAGGCTGATGTATCAATACACAAGCACAATGTCACGATAGATGTTATGACATCTGTTGACAGAATATAAACTTTTACCAAAATTAAAACTATGTAGAATTATAAAGTGAAAAAGGTAAAAAGAACTCAGAGAGTTGTTAACCCAGTTCAATGCAACTCACCTACTTTGGGGCTACCAAGCCAGGAAGGAAATCTACTATCAATAAGTATCAATTTAGAGCTAAATAGTTCCAGTTTACACCCCTCACTTAATCACTATCCAATGCAACTTCTACCTAGACACCTCATATATGTGAGAAATCGTCATCTCACTTCCAATCACTGCAGTGCTATCTACAATCACAATCCCTATGACTAGAATATACAGCCACAAACTAGTGACTAGAAAATAAAATTTAAGAACACACTTCAATTAGAGAAGCTCAAACTCTCTTGCTTAAAATCTTCAAGAGTGAGACAATAAATTGACAAAATGTCAAGTAACAATCAGTAAACTCAAATGCATTAAGAGATGCATGAGAACGTACAAATAAAAACATAAACCCCTTAAAGAACCCTTAAAACCTAAGACTAAGAAAATCCAACTTCCCCTTATTTTTTACAAAGTTCTCGAAGATATTAGGTTTAGGTAGTTTCTTTAAATACTCCTCAACCATCCTTGGGCCTTGCATCTATGCCCAAATGTTCCTTGTTGTCCATGCTGAGGGATGAACCAATATGTGCAGGATAATCTCCTTGAATCTTGGAACAAAAACACACGGTTTCCTAAATTGTCTCAATCAACCAATTATAGCAACCTGTGTATAGCTGGAGATAAATTATTTGTTTCATATTTATAATTCTTGACCTGTGATAAATCAATGAGATAAAAACTACTTAAATTTCACAGAATCAATTAAATGTCTATCAAGAATAAACAACATGTAATGATGTTAAAATAATATGTTACAACATATGTAAGAACATCTGCTTTCAAATGAACCTGACCAAACATGTTTAAAACGTCTGCTTTAACATCAAGCTGCAAACCATGTTTTAGCAAAAATTATGCCAATCCAAAAAACATGGTACTAAAATCTCCCTCTTTGGTAAATTTGGGCTAAAACAACCTTAGCATAAAAAGTCCGGGAGAGAGGAATAAAACCACAAATAAATAAAACTGCATAAATAATATACATATCAGAGTTACAACAACTACATAAACAGACAAGTACAATACTCCCCATGTAACACATAATAAGTTCTCCCCTCAAGGAAAAACCCTCATCAAAAGAGAAAATCTGAACATCAGAATTCTCAACACACACACACAAATAGGATGTTTGGAACATCTGTTAAGACATCCTCATCTTGCACACATACATACATCAGTAGCAGCAGCAGAAGTACACACTAAGAAAACAATATGAAACATCATGCTCCCCTAAATTGTTGCAACCAACAAGAAGAAATCATACACAACACAACACTAACACTTTACTCCCCATTTTTAGGAAAAATCTTGACAAAAAGAAAAAGAGTAAATGTACATATTGCAAGACGACATAGTGCATATAAAAAATACAAATAAAATGGAAGCACACATAAGAGCACAAGTGGAAACAAACATAAAACCATGCACAACCAAAGGAAACACACAACTAAATATGGAGAAAAAAAACTACTAAGCACTAGGTGGAAACACACATGGTTTGGAACCTAAGGCTCCTCAAAAATGCAAACACCAAGGTCACCCTAAGCTTTTCAAACTAATTTACATCCAAAGCTTTGGTAAAAGTATCAGCCAGTTATTTTTTGTGGCCATATGCTCCCTGTAGTTGTTTAGTTATTGGCTTGCATTTTTGGTAAAACCCAAGTGTGTGTGTGTGAATGTCATGACTGATGTCATAACATTCTAGTTTAGTTTGTACTGATTCATTAGGTACCTTTGCAGAAAAATATTGTCATTCAGGTACTGATGTTTATAAGTGTGTAT